ATTTTTTTATTTTTTGAAAAGTTGGAATATTTTTTTTATATATGGCAGAAGTTGGGGCATTTTTTTATTTTCCCATAACAAAATTAACAAAATTCTATTCTGACACTGTGTCTTTTTACTTTTAAGCTGAAAATGTGACATGCTAGACAAATATCAAAGTATACCACATCGTTAAGTAACACTGATGCGACAATGGCTTAGCATCTTCAGCGCTAGCGGCTTGAGTTTGGCAGCCGCTAGTCGCGGAAATCTAGCACTGTGGCCGCAGCTACTTGATGCAAAACTTTTGTTCTCCACATCCATAGGTTTGCTCCATTCCGATATTTCAGGGATAGTAGCTAAGCTTAATTTTTACGTGCCAAGAAAATGTGACGGTCATCGAAGCTTCAAATGGAGGAGTATTAAGTACATTCTCCACAAAAATTGATATGCAGTCGAAGGTCTTTCTTACTAATTTTGCTCTTCAAACTAACTGAAAGCTAGCTAATCGTTTGCTACGCTTTGTGGACATAGGTATCTTTCGACCCTCTTATCGATTCGATTCAGGTAAAGTAACAGTGTATTAATTGAAGAAAAAATCTCTGTAAACAATTTTTTCTGCTGCAGATTACATGGATTCCAGCTACAGAGCTACAAAGCTCGACGTTCGATCGCTTTTTTGCAAGCTCTTTACGATTTGATAGGATTAATGCTGTTGGTATCCATTTGCGTGCTGAATTGCGAAAAGAAGTCGAGAATACTGCGATAGATGAAACGACTCTTGAACGATTAGAGGTAAATGTTCGTGATTTCTTGCACGACACCTTACCCTCATTTAAAATCTATCCTTGGTTGTCAAAAGGTTTGCCACCTCATTAGCATCATGTGTCAGACTATTTGGTATTAACTCATCTAACTATCTTGTAGGTTTCTTTGCCAAATCTTTTTGCGATGTCAACGTCTGGAAAACGGTTAATTTGCCAGTTGATATTTCTCACGGATCAACTATCAGCTCGCGTACATGTCTATCCTCATCCTTTCCTTTGATGCGAGAGGAGGGGACTCCGTCATTCTACAGCAAGTTTATTCAGGAAGTGAGATATGGTGGAACTATTCGTGGAGACTCGTCTTTTGAGCAGTCGCTGATTGAAGCGCATCGAAACTTTTTGAGTAGCCGACATGAACTCAAGTTGTCATTTGTTAAATTTAGTCACGGGTCGACTATCGAGGCAGAATATTTGGGAGCATACATAATGAAACCTTTGAGTGCAGATAAAGCTTTTGAAGCAGCAAACCCGGTTTGCAAAAGTACAAGTGATGTGCTCGTGGTTACTTCTATTGCTAAAGCAACAGAACTTTACGAGCTCAAGCAAGCTTGGCTTCAATTTGATGGCAAAATTGTACCTCTTAATTCTGTGGTAGAGGTGCAAATTTTGAAATTCGCACTTGCAACCACGATGCAGTCTGCAATCGTCGGAGCCGGATTTCATCGCCAATACGTTATCGACCTTGAGATATTCGATCTCGAGGTCTCTGACCAAAAAGATTTGCAAAATTCGATTTTCGTGCGCATGCCAATTTCGAATACTGCATATATCGACCTCGACGAGATTCGGGTAAGGTCAGGCCTTACGTTGACAATATCAGTAGACCCTAATGTATGAGTGCCCTGACAGAGAATGGAGCGGTTCGGTGACCTAAAGTTGATCTCCTTTACAAAACATATCGAAATTGAGCGGCCTTCTACCGTTTCCTCGCACCACATCATTGGATTCGAATTTCTCTTGTTCGTATCTATTCATTTGTCGTCATGGTGTCGCACGATTACCCAACGTTGTTAATGTCTATTCAGGTCAACAGCCAACAAATTGCATTTCAAAATACCCATTCACTTTAGATATCAAGCAGCTTCGAAAAGTTCAATGTACCGTTCAGCATCGGTGATAGCGCCTGACTGCTTTTTAATTAGCCAAGGAGTGATTTCTGCCAAGACAAAGGTAAAGATATCACGGGACGATAGAGTGCTAAAATATTTTCAGGCAAGTACGCGTGCATTGCATTCGAGCGATTCTATAAGACTAATTTTACGATATGAACATAAGACCTGGGATTTGATTGATAAAGCGACTACACGCAGTGACAGCCAATGGTCCCCTTTGATAGCAAAACATCCTCTTCCAGTAAATGAGGTTCTTATACCTGTTGGCTATTTACCGTTGAGTTGGCTCGTGAGCACCGTGACGCTAATCTTTGCATTTATGGGCGCGGCAATTCTTATCTGGCTTTCAATTGGCAATGCGAATCGAGCTCAAAGCGCTAAAACAAACTTTGGGGCTCGCTGGAAGAGAAAGCTGAGAGGTTAACGACATAGTGACATGTTTCGATACATTTGACAACTCAGAATACATAACAAAAATTCAAGACTGGATGTTTGTTATAACTCGGGGTATTATACACCTGTACATGGATTCGTATTTCCGATCAGTTTTTTTCAGTCAACAACCGAAGTGTAAGTGTAGCATGATCTAGCACAGAGATAGTGTAGTGATTCATGCGTCGTGTCTGCAAGTCTCTCGTTATTGGAGTCGGTGGAAAGGATCCAGGAGTAACTGCACCTATGTACGAATTGACATCCCGATCGTGACTGCCACTAAGAGTAACAGTAGCTCGAAAGAGATTTGCTGGTACGCTTGAATGCATCATGTTTGCCATTCGTTGAAACATCTCAGATGAGATAGTTGAGTCTTGCTCCATGTACTCGATAGCCCAGCCAGGTTCAAACTCGTCGTCTGTCCTTTCAACATCACTCATGCTACAATCAGACTCGCTGTCCGTGTCGCAAAGCCGATGTCGCGTGTAGCGTTGAGTTTGTCGATGACTGATGTCCATGATGTCAACTGGAGAAGTACACGGTGTCTGTGTTTGGGTCTGATTTGAAGAACCGGCCGTGAATAAGCGTTGGACCCTTACGAAAAGCTGTTGGTAAAATCTTTTCACAAACGTTTGATTCTGTCTCTTCATATCACTATCATCCGATTCGGAAGTAACAGCGTTGCAATGTCTATGAGGGTGATTGTGGTTCAGATTCTGCTGCCTTCGATACGAGGCTTCGTCAAGCTCTTTGGCTACAAGTGATTGCCAAAAATCTGTAAATTGAGCATCCGAAAGCGAAACAACCGAATCAGCCACTCTATCAAGTGAATCAACTGCTGCGACAGGTAGCTGTGTCTGAAGCTGCATGTACCATTGCACGATAGACGAAGCGCAATATTTGGCACTATTTCGATCGAGCTGGTATAGCACGAAGGCCACTGTGCGTAGTAGCGACTTCTCGACAGCAATGACCACCGACATGGCGCCAGATGCGCTACTATTGTTCGCACGAGCTGGTGGCTTGTCATCCACACATCGATAGATTTCCGTGACGCCGGTCATGGGAGTGTCAATATATTAATATGCGGTGGCTTGATCTGATGTGAGAAGAAAAGTCTAGGTCTTTTTTTGGCAATATCTTACATAAAAAACAGCTGGGTGTTGACGAGGACAAGAACACAATTTTTCCACAATTCGACTTCCAAGCACCATTTATAATGAGCGTTTTGGTCTCCAGTGACGACGCCAAGATTCTTTGCCGGCGGCAGCAGCTTAAGGTGACCTTTAACAGTGGTATTGCTGTTAATTTCCTTTAAAGAAACTCACTATTGTTCCTATTTTAAAAGCCGTTTCGTCGTACGGGGAGTCATCCCCACTGAACTTATAGAAACTTTTCTATAACTTTGGGAAGTTTTATATCAGGTAGAAAAACGACTTACTTTCCTTGCCGTTACAGCGATTGCTTAATTTTCTTGATTTCTAGTTTTGGCGATTTTTGACATATGGAAATTAACCTGCCAATGCGCACTAAGCCATCCAGACTCATTCTTGGTGCTTTTAATGACCATGAATGCATTCGACGCTATAAACTCTTGGCATTTAGTTTTGAAGAGTACACAGGGACAGTTGTGTCCAATGTCTTAGTTTGCTGGACATGGGAGTCTTCGGATATCGAAGGAAGTGCCGTCAGATTGGCGTGCGTAGTGATTGGTTAAATAGTTTTGTGTGCGCGCCATCAACGTCTTCAAGACTCGAGATCTACAACACAAAGTATGACGTGCTGCCTTTGTAAAAAAACTTTGAAGTTGGGAGATGCGACAATGCACACCTAGTTAGACGGAGGGAACTGATTCTTGGAGAAATGGTCAGTAGAACAGAAGGATGATCTGTATGCGTGAGGTTGATGTATAATCAGCAAAAGTAGGTAGGGTTTTATATCTTGATTCTCGGGGTATGTTCGCGCTGGATTACGAATACCTTCTTAAGATGGTTTGACTTTAGGGTTACGAATATTTTCGTTCGTTAAGAGAATCTTTATCGAGCTACTTGAATCAAGGTCTCGGCAAAGTAAGAAAATGTCAATGATAACTTTCTCAAGTCTTCCAGATTATGGGTGAGAACCAACTGTACGCGATCATGCAGACTTTACCTGCGTTACTACTCAACAGCGACGCCGTATGCTAGCCGCAAGACTCCGAGCGTCGATTCTGACCCAGAATGTGTCTACCGAAGACGATAGCGCACAGCAACACACCTTTGTCAACGGTATGAGGGGGAAGGAAGAGAGCGATGTCACCCTCAAGGCTATTTCTGCTGTGGATGCTCTTCTTGAGCTGAACGAGGTGTCCTTCGAAGAGTTCGGCAGTGCCTTAACGGCAGACGCCTTAGCCGAGGTGGTTAATATACGATTGGAAGAGGAGATCAACTTGTCGTCGCTTCTGGTTGAAGCTGTCCTGGAGGACACTTAAAGTATGCTGAACGCACGGAGTGATTCTTCGATCCCGACGTATTTCTCGGTCCGTTCTACCCTATGGTGAAGGAATTTCAAAACGTCGTCTTCGATGACCCACCGTCGGTCCTATCTCCGGACCGAGATGTGCGTTATGAGATCGACCTGGATCAGGGAACCAAATACTGCGTGACACGCCAACGGCCCTGCCCAAGAGGAGCAGTGTGACGTCATTGACGCCTTTTCCCGTGCGAAACTCGAGGCAGGAATGGCGCGTGAGAGCTATTCTCCCCATTCGACACCCACCTGTTGTCGAACGGCAAGTGGAGTTGCGTATCGTTCACGCTTACGAAAAGCTCAACGCTGCCACCATTCCGGCACAATATAGGTGAATGTACAAAGTACAGTGAGCTCGACTTGGTCGAGGGATATTACCAATTGCTCATGAGAGCGAGTGATATTATGCTGACAGCGGTTAGTACTCCGAGCAGGATTCTCTAGGAGTGGCTGGTGATGCCCCAAGAACTGTCAATTGCACCAGCAACAATTAATCGTCTTGTGAGGTAGTTGTTTAGGCTCCATCGGGCGTATGTACAGACTAACTTCGACGATATCTCCGTCCACAGTCGTGCGGAGCACGGTAGGACGGATGAAGCGAATAGCTGAATTTGACAAGTGCATTCTCGGCGCAGAAAAAATGCCCTTTTAATGTGTTTCATTGGGAAGCGTGGCCTTCGAGCGGATCCCGCTAAGGTCAACAAAAAATGTTGATGCGAGTTTGTTGCAGTGGCAACAGCATTTGTTCGAGCATCCATTTCAAGTGCCAACTCTTGCTCTGCATGTGTACCAGTAACTTTCCGTCCTGGTAATGAAGCAGCAGCTACAACAGCCGCAAGATTTAAAGCTTCTGAGCCAGGAAGCATCCCAGTAGAATGTCGACGACCAGCAGCACTTGAGTTGAAAAAAGCAACACTTGCACTTGATAAAGTACTGGATTTTTGTCTTTTAAGTGCTTGTTGTGTCGGAAATTGTGTCCGTGTGTGAACTTGAAAATCGTCATGCTGTGGCAAACGCAATTGATGACACAATTCCATTGAACTTGATTTGGTCATTGGTGACATGGTCACAGGTGTTGCACGCTCTTTGCGTTTGATAAGTTTCATTCGATCTTTATCCGATTGTAAAAAAAGGGATGACTAAATGTTCAAATGTTCGTTTGAGTCTTCGTCCACTTTTTGAACCCAAAATAATTGAGTTGTCGCTGAAAACTCGAGACTTTATTGTGTTTAAAATATCGAGGTAAAATCTGAGTGGCAAGTTCTTCTGGTTGAATAATCTGAAATGCTGTACCATCATGAGACCAGGAAATAATTCGTGGATCTTCGACTTCGAGTATTTGATAAAGAAATCGAAGAAACTTTGGAACACCAACATTTCGTCGTTTAATAACGTGAATATCTGTCTTCTTCGCATCAGAAGGCAATCCATGAGTCTGGAACGCCAATTCTTGTTCTTGTTTATGTTCTTCTTCAGGCTCTTGCTCTGATGCGACAAGTGATGCCTGACGTGTGGCCACATTGGGAAGCGTGGCCTTCGAGCGGATCCCGCTAAGGTCAAGGCCGTTGTGGACTGGTCGGTTTCAAAGAACCAAAAGGACTTGCGTAAGTGGCGAGGTCTCGTAAATTACTTGCACAAGTAGAGCGAAAACTACGCAGAAATGGCACGGTCGTTGTCGAATCTCATCATGAAGGATGCAAAATTTTGTCGGGACATCAAGAATCGTGAGGCTTCTGACAGGGTCAAAGACAGCTTCCTGCATGCACCAGAACTGGCGTTGCCGGATCCTGATAGTCGTTTCAGTGTCGTCTGTGACGCTTCGGACTTTGCCATCAGCTGTGCACTGCTGCAAGTAGACGCCGAGGGGATGAGATCAGGTGATCGAGTTTGTATGTCGGCTGCAGAGAAGAACTACCCACTCCACGTCTAGAAACTAGTTGCGATGAAGTATGCACTTGTCAAGTTCAGGGATCACCTGCTCTGCTCCAAGCCGTTCGTGTTCTACACAGATAATGCGTCATCACGCATTTCGCCTCACCTCTCACAGAGGATAACCAGTTTGCTCTCCTTCTTTGCAGATTATAGCTTCGAGATATCGTGTAAGCCAGGGTAGACCCTGCTCATGTCACGACGGTGACGTCGTCGGTGCGGATTTGATCCGCGCCGCGTACTCGGGTGATGTTATGTGCGTAGCGCTGCTACAGGCTCTCGGGAGCAAGGAGTTTGACAACTTGGACAATAAATTGTAGTCGCGACTGCGTGCACGATTGCACCAAAATTAATGAGTTGCTGTGTTATAGCACTGACTTGACGGGTACACCATGAATTGTGGCTCCTCATGATTAAAGTTTGAAGCACCGTATCCTCTAAGAGGTCCTCGGCACCCCGCCCAGTGGTCATCTCGGCTTTGATAAGACCTACAGTGCTATGGGTTGCCAATACTGGTGGCCTAGATCGTAAAAATGGATGAGCACATATGTGCGCACGTGTGAGACGAGTCAAAGGGTGGAACTCTCTTCAAATGCAGTGGCGCCGCTGGCCAGTATGCCGGTTCCCTCCGGGTGTTGGTAGTCCATGAATTTGAACTAGGTGTTTGGCCTGCCGAAGAATTCGGCAGGCAATACGGAGGTCGTGGTCTTCGTCAACCGTTTGAGCATGATGGCTCATCTTACGCCAGTGCCGGACATCATCGACGGTGTGGGTACAGCGACGCTTTTGTGGATTCTGGTCTTCGACAACATGGACTACTGGAGATAGTTGACTCTGACAGAAACCCACGCTTCACTGGGAAGTTTGAGTAGACGATCTCCAAGGTGCTGGGCACCAAGTTGACTATGTCAACAGCGGAACATCCGCAGACCAATGGTCAAACTGAGCGCGTGAACTGCGTCGTCGAGGACGGTTTGCAGCGTCTGCGCTGAGACGCCGAAGAGCTGGAGCGCAATGCTGTCAGTTGTAGAGTTCGCTTTGGACGATGCAGTACATGTGTCTACAGGCTACACGCCGTTCCAGCATCTTGAACGTGTCGAAAGACACTCAGTCTGGTAGACTAGATGTCATCGACTTCTTTACGAACATTGAGGGGGCTGGCATCACCTAGCCGCTCGGCTATTCCTCTCACACCAAGCCCTGAGCCATG